AAATGCTAATATTTAGTATCATTTGTATTAGCGATATGACCTTTAAGTTTTTCTTAGTCATTAAAAACAAACGTAGTTGTATTAAGTATCAGAGACTAAAATTTCAGCTTAATAGCAAACACTCCTTATCCTTCACCTCTTCATCCTTCTACCCGTAACAGGAACAGGCCAAAATATGTGTACATATTTTGTGTAGTTTATAATTTCTGTATAAACAAGAATTATTCTATTAGATATAGACTACCTTAGCCAGGATGGTACATAAAAGCAGAGACTTAAAAAAAATCATGGAAGAGAAAGTATAGATAAGGGGTTACCAAGTCTATTTTCTCTGTGGTTCTGGAGTATCAGAGAATGATGCTTATCTGTCACAGTCACAGGATGACTGCTATAGCATTCATTATTATGTCCTTGCATGACAACAACCAAAAGTGTCAAGGAAAAAAGTAGGATTGTTGTTGTGGTCGTTTTGTTTTTTTTCCCATTATCTCTCTAAAGGGAGCACTTTTTCCTATGCCATTGCATATCGTCAGGTGCAGACCAGGGGTGTTGGAAAATGAATATCCAGACTTTTTCTGTCTCTTTGGACAGATCTTCTGACAGGGAAAATGTGGGAGAAAATAGCTACCAGATAGGCAATCACCAGAGTCTGTTCTAGAGACAAATGGTTCCTGACCAGGCTCCCAACACTAATATTTTCACACTAGATTTTATCTTAAAAGCAGCAAAAATGTTTGAGTCTGTTGTTTCTTCCTAAAATACTTGATAAACTTATTTCTCAAAGAAACAAAAAAGTTCTTTGAGAACATTAAATATGCTTTTATAGTTAAATTTTAATGTATTATCAAGGCCAATTAACTCAGTCTTTAGTCACTATTTGGAGTATGCCTAGTCCAAATTTATTACCACAAAGTAGAACAAGAAAAAATATACTTGTGAAACCTAAATACTGAACATATCATCCTTTAGGGCTGTTAATGTTTGAAGAGGAAAAATACCACTTTAGTAGTACTATTGCTCATTCACAGAAAAGAATTCCAGTATTAAGCTCAACTTGAAATATCTTTGTTTTGACATTCACTACAAACTTCATATAGTAGCATGAAAATAGGAAAAATTCCCAGTATGTTATTATTATTAATAACAATAAAGGCCAGCATGAAAAGATTTATAATACATGGAAGCAAATCTTATTGGTTAAAAGGGTTTCTTTTTTTGATATAACTAAGATGAATCATAGTTATTAAATTTCTGTGATGTTGTGTTTCTTCATATTGCATTATCTTAGTAACTAAGTGTGGGAGGACACAAAGAACAGAATTTTAGTTCAAGTTTTATTTCATGTGAATTTCAATGTCTGCAGTAATGATTTTTTTTTCAACTTAAAATTATGATCACAAACCAAACAACAAATTCTAAATTGGGTACCATTAATGATGATTTGTTTTGACAAAAGAGACACTAAAAATATACTAAATTCTGGCCTGATAGAGCTTTTGTTTTCAATGCTTCCCTAGTAAGACAATTGAGGTGGGGGATTCTAAACACCTTTGGTCAAAATAGATCTATAGATTCACACTCTGGATTAATTTTTGTTACTATTGTCACAGTGATGATACATATAAAATAGGAAACTCAGGTTCAAGACATTTCTAATGTCCAAGATGGAACAGAAACCTAAAATATTGGCAGAGTGGAAGGTAGTGATCAATTTGGCTCCTGGTTCAGGAGTGGGCAGCTGGGGCCAGGTACTGGTTCCCATTAGATAGAAAGGTCAAAGTTGTTCTGAGTATGTGAGGTTTAGGGAACTAGAAAACCAAAGCCAGAACCTCTGAAGAAGACAGAACCTCAAGGGCCACTAGTAATTATCTTTTGTGGTTTGATGAAGGATATAGATCCATAGAGAAGAGAAAGCAAACATTCAAGAACTGAAGAAAGTTATCCATTTGTTTAAAAAGTACTGTCATGAACTCATTTTCCATGATAGTGGAAGGTTCCAGATGTATTTGTAGGTCCTGATTCTGGACCAGAGGCCTGGGAAGCTGGAAGGCTGCAATCACAAAACTCAAAGCCAGACAAGTGTCCATGAAGCATAACAGTGAACAAGAAAAATAAAAATAGAGGAAGAAAAAAAAGCAAATTACTTAAAAAGATTTCTAATTAAAATGAGTGTTTACAAATATTCTAATGCTAAGATTTCTTCCTTTTTTTAAAAATCAACAGCTTGTGAATTGTGGCTCAGAGGTAGAGCGCTTGCCTAGCATGTGTGGGGCACTGGGTTCGATTCTCAGTATCACGTATAAGTAAATGAATAAAATAAAGGTCTACACATCTAAAAAAAATATATTTAAAATTTACTTTAATGAAAGTTTTTAAATAGATTAAAATTAATTGTATTAGATATTTAAAGAAAAAAATGAATGTACAACTTTCTTTTAAGTAGAGCTAGGTTTTTTTAAAGAAAAAATCAGAAATGGTGCAATAATAAGTAGACATGAAAAAGTATGGAAATAGGATTTGGGGACTAGATCAGCAGTAGAAACTTGATTAATAAAAACAAGGTCCTGAATTTGATCCCCAGCACTCATAAATAAATAAATACATAAGAGAATTGTGGAAGCAATACATGAGATAAAGGACAAGGATGAAATAATGCAGTGAATTCAAATAAATTAAATGGAAAAGACTTCAAAGGCATCCAAAATACAAGCACAAGTTTTCCTGACATTCAATTGACATTAAACTACATTTTAATAAATATAATTAGAACACATATAACGTAGGGAAAAATCTTCAAATATTGTACACCTACTTTGAAAGACCATATGAAGCAATTAATATACAGCATCATTATTACACTAGTAGCTTTTTATCATTATACAAATAGTTGCTGGTAAAATAGTGATTCCCCTTAGACAGTTCAAATGATACCAATGCATAGCAACAAAAATTGGAAGGTTTATGAGACAAGTGGGTTTAGGTAATTCGTCAATTTATCCAGTCAGGAATAGATGAACAAAATGTCCTTCACAAATGATAATGTATATCTAAGATGTTTCTATTTTTCTTCTTAATATCATTCGTAGTAGAGACACCAGAATCACAGGAGGTCTCAGGATACTCATTTTAGCCCTTATCCAAAGAGAAGCAAATGACATTGTATTTTCAAACATCATCAGTAGTTCTTCATTACTATCCAGGTCCAACACTGAGGAGTTATAATTAAATTTAATTATCTTCTGTTGAAAGAAATGGACTCTGGAGCCATGCTTTTTTCCTGCTCACGGGTTTCTCTTGATTAAAAAAAAAAAGAAAATCAAAATATTATATCACATGACAGCAGTCTAATCATGAGAAAACATTAGATGGACTCACATCAAGGGACTTTCTACAAAATACTTACCCAAGCCAAAACTCTCGAAAATTATTAAGGATATTGGGGAAAAAAGGCACAACCAAGAAACAGATGAGAAACACAGATTGGAAAAGACATGACAATCAAATGCGACATGATATATTGGATTAAATCTTAGAACAGAAAAAAAAATACTTTGATGGAAGAATAATCTAAATAACACCTAGAATTTAAATTAAAATAAATATGTTAAATTCAAAGATATCTCTGACAACTTTTTATAGAGATGCAATTAGAAAGATGACACCTTATTTCATTGATAAGTGTTATTAAATTATGAAACTTGTCATTAAATTGTGAAACTTGTCATATTAATCAGTAGAAACTTGTTTTTGCCATCAATCTTATGTGTGATTGAAAAATGTTATATTCCTTCTTTTATATGTAAGTATTGAGATCAGTAACAGTACTGAATTATCACATAGTTAAGCAAGGCTGATAGTCTAATTCACATGTTAAAAAACTGAGCCCACGTAGGTTTCTAATCTTTCAGGAACAATAAGATATCCTGCTGTGGATCTAACACTCCAACAGAATGTTTCTCCTAAGAATGATTACCCTGGAAAGTGATCATCATTACCAAGTATTAACAGTTATACTGTCCATTTTTGAACAACAAAGTAATTTTGGTTGACATGTTAACCTTTACCTAATTCACATTCCATAT